AGCCGCTGCCAGGAGCACGTCGTCGACGCACACGTTGAGAATGCTACCGTCCGGGTGAAGGAAGACCCCAGGCCAGGAAGCCACCGGCTTCCAGTGCAATGCCTTCAGGATGCCCTCGAACAGGTGCTCCCAGAGTGCGCCTGCTTCCGGATGCCCGTAAAGAGCTCGGAGCAGAAGGCATACCGGTCGAACGAACCTGGGGCGAGACCGGTCCCCGTTGTGGTACCAGCTCGACGGCCACCACTCCCGTGGGATCTCGACCCACGCGGGAACTCGTCCTGGCCCGCTGATCGATGCCTGAAGGTACGCCTGCAGGGCGTCGCAAACCGACACCTGGAGCTGAAGCAGCACGGCGATCGCAAGAGTGCAGCGCACCGCTGCGAAGCTCACCGGGCTGCTCGAAACCTCCTGGTACAGGTCGACGGCGTCGACGCCCGTTTTTGTCCTCACCTGGCTGCCCTGGAAGACCGCCCGGAACTTGATCGAGGCGTCGTCGCCCTCGGCGTTCTTCTCGCCCATGATGCCGAAGACGCGGCCGTGCAAGACTTCCGGAATCGTTGGGTCCTTCATCAGGTCCTTGTACTCCCGAACCTCCGTCTCGGACCAAGTCTGCCGGCTCCGATGGCCAGCCAGCTCCTTTTCGATGGCCTTCAGGGCGGCTTCGGATCGAGCCTCGGCTGACTTCAGATTGATCTTCCGCGTAATCAAGCACGACCACACAGGCGGCTCTGCATCAACCCCGTCATCGCGGTGGTCTAGGCTGGGCACAACCTTGACGATGCTCCAAAAAACCTCCGCCAGCTCCCGCGTGTAGTTGGCGCTGTCCTTGGCGATCTTGCCCGTGCACTCGATGAAGCTGTCCTCGGGGAGGTCCGGAACGTCCTGGTACGGCTCCAATCGTCGAAGAAAATCCGCGTGGTTCGACATGATCCTCCACTTCTGCTTGAGATATTGCTCGATCTCCTGGCCGCCGCGCTTCACGACAAACTTCATCCCGAGCGCTGCGGTCGAGACGTCCCGGCTGCCAGCGTCGAGGTACTGCGCGAAGTCGATGACGTCCTGGCGGTGCCAGAATTTGGACGTAGGAGGCCGCTCCCAGAAAATCCAGCCACCGTATCTCGCCGCGTGCCTGCAAATGGAAATGGTGGTCTGTATGAGCTTGTCAGAAAGATCCACGTCACCACAGGCACCGCCAGGCCCAGCGTCGACGTGCTGCCTCGGGCTCCCGGCCGTGCTCGGCGTCGACGCCCAGACGTAAATTGCACACCCATTGAGGTAGGCCTCCCGGACCACACCATGTAGAGCACGGCGGGTCTCCTTCAATGTAAGGTCGGTCTCCTCGGCCAGGCGGATAGCCAGGGTACCTGGAACAACTCCTTGAGATAGTACTGAGTCCATTTCGCAATTAATTTCAAGAAAAATGGCAGTGAAGGCGCCCGAACGAATCTTCGCCCTGGCGCACTTGAGAAGATCAGCACGCTCGCCAGCTTCATGCAAGGTCGACAAGCTAGGAGAACCGATCAATCGTTTATGCCGCATGTCCCGGTGCCTCGCGATTAGCACCGGCGCCAGCGAAGCAGAACCAGCGCGCCGCACGTCCCGATGCACTGCCGAAAGCACCGGCGCTGGACTCCCAGGTGCTGGAACTGCTTCTGGTTGTTGGTCAGGCTGTTGGGCGGCATCCGCTGCCCGTGCTGCCCCAGGCGGCCGGGGTCCCCCACCCCCGGACCGTGCCGCCGCCGGCTCCTGAGGGGTACCTCCCCCGTGTCGCCGCTGCGGCGGGCATCCGCCGTGCCCTTTTGGCTTCCTGGTAAGCACTTCTCCGATTTTCCTGCTTCTTGAATCCATCTGGATCCTTCTCCTTCCACTCGTCCCTCAGCTTGTTCTGGTCCCCCTTGCTCATCATGACCCACGCCTCCGGGTAGACGGTGGGAGGCCTCCGCGACCATGGCGGGACAGAGACCGCTCGGCTGCCGAACGTGTCGATTCTCCAGCCGGTCGGCGGGCGCCCCCCTGCAGCCTTGACCTCGGCCTCGTCGAGGGGCTCCGGCTCCGGCCCCATGCCGGCGAGAACATCTTCAGCGATAAACTTGGCATCAGCTCCAAGCCAGTCATCTTGGTCGCCGCCGGAGTCGGCCAGGTTCTCGGGGCCCAGCACAATGTCTTCGACGAAGTTGCCCGGCACCAGCTTGGGCGCATTCTCCGCGAGCTCGCCGTCGCACTCGTTGCCTGAGCCAGCGCTGTGGTCCGACTCCTCAATGTCCCAAGCCCCCTTCTCATCGCAGACCGCCGGGGCAGGGAAGGCGTCGTCCCTGGCCGCCCCTGCAAGGCGAAGACGTTGCTTCGCTGGGAAGGTGACGCGCTCGGGGAAGAAGACCTCGGCAGAATATCTAATAGATGACCGCGATGGCCGATAATCGCCCAGCAGCCTGCGGAGAGGGACGACGGCGTACGTCTTGTTCCAGTCGAAGCAAGGGCCAATCCCGATGCCGACAAGCACGTAGGGTAGCATCTTTTCCTGCCACTTGGGCTGCTTGACTCCCTTCTCCCGCGGCGCCACAAATACGAGAGCGCCGAAGGGGTACTGCCGGAACTCAGGATGGCGGCCGAAACGTCGAAAATATGGGGTGAAGCCGTCCTTGCCGATCTTGAAGCCGTTGTGCATCATGCACCACATCGTCAGCGCTAGCGGCCACCAGGTGACGGGAAAAGCCGCCATCGCGAGCAGCGCGAGAGCACCCTCCAGCAGCGTCCGGTTGAACCTCTCGATGATGCCATTCGACTGTGGCACGTGAGGAATGGAGCAGAAATGCGCGAAAGGGTGGAGCTCCCGAAACTTCCGGCTTGCCGTCTTGAACTCCGGGGCGTTGTCCGTCCACCAGCGCCTGATCTGCGGGGAGACGTCGTCGAAGAGGTGGTGTGCTGCAATGACGACCTCCGCCTTCCTGCTCGAGCTCGGGAACACGCCGCCGTACTGGGTCCTCTCGTCGAGCATGTTCAGGCTGACCTTGGCGACCTCCGCCGCGGGGCTGCCGTGAGGCATGACGGCGTGGTCCAAGTGGACGCAGGCTCCGAATGGGCGCTCTTCCGCATCAGGAGCTTGAATCGCGATCCCCCTGGAAGCAGGGTCTCGCCGTCGCGAGTGGGGCTTGCAATGCTTGCCGGCCCTGCAGCCCGGGCAGGCGTCTGGCATCGAAGGGGTGTGGCGCGACAGGTGCTCGATCGTCAGGTGTGCCGCCCCCGAGTCGAGAACGACCTCGTCGGGCGACTCCGAAACCTCGATCTTCTGGAACACCGTAGGGTCGGACATGGCATCCGCGTCAAAGTCCGTCAAGCCCCCCTCCAACACTCGCACGACGTCCCCAACCGACTCCTGCTCGACAAGCGGCGCGCCAAGCTCTCCAGCGACTGCCGCAACGTCATGTTCGGGAATCGGCGACTCGAAGAACTGCTCGAACAGCGGGGGCTCTTCCCGATCCATCCCGGCGATCTCCTCGGGCTCTGGGGACAGCGCTGCGACGTCGGCCAGCTCGGTCGGTAGCGTGGCCAACTCCGTCGGCGGCGTGGGCGGACCCTCAGATCCGTCTCCGGTCGCAGTCCCGACCAGCACCTTCCGGGCAGCAGGGCCCGCCGGCCTCGATGACGTGACGAGGTGCGGCACGTAATCCCTGTCACACCACACCTGGCAACCCTCACCGGATGGCCTGACGAACTGCGGCTTTGGCGCCCAGGGATGCCAGTAGAAGCCGTATCCCATCTCTGCGCAACGCTTGCCAATCGTGAGGATTTTGGTGGTGGCCGAGGCGTCTGGCAAAAAGTGCGGCCTCGATATCCTCCCCGAGCTCGTCCAGGTGGGTCATCACCGCACTGTCGATGCGCGACTCGCCCTTGCCGGTGTCGATGGCGCCCGGCTGCGAGATCTTATGCGGCTTAGCGCCAGCGACGTGGCCCGTCGCATCCAACGCGCTCCCGGAGTCAAGCGCCCAGATCTCACCCGTGAAGTCGTCGAGCCCGGCACCGACGCACGGAGCGCTGGCAAGGAGCACCTTCTTCTTCCCCTTGCCGCCGCCCTTCTTGCTGGCCTTTTCCTTAATGATATTCTCGATGTCCCTCTTGTCGTCGGGCCCGTGGCGATAGATGCATCGATCGCCGAAGGGGCACTCCGAGGGTTTCGCCGCGTGGCGACAATCATCACCAGGCTGGCCCCCAAGCTTGACCACGGCGCCCGCGGGGTAGCCGGCAGTGGGCGTGCGCACCTTATTCTTATAGTGCATGAACTTGCAGTCTCTGTCAAACTTGCACGCCCCCGCTCGCCAGAGTGCGCAAGGGAATTGCTTGGGTTCCTGGTTCGCCGCCCCGGCCCGCGCGTCCGCCTTCACCTTTGGCTCAGCCTTGGTCTTCGCCTCGGCTTTGGCCTTCACCTTGGCGAGCGGCTGCACCTTCTTCGGCGGCGCCGTGAGGTTGTCCGCCGTCTTCTGCTGGCGCTTGCGGGCGCAGAGCGCCCTTGCAGCGTCGTAGAGGTACTTGAAGGTCTGCTCGTTGCTGCCAGGCGTGGCCCTGTCGAAGATCTGGAACTCGAGAGCCAAGTCTGGGCACTGCCGGAGCTCTGGCACGACGATTGCCAACAATAGTGCCTCATCCGGCTCCTTCATCATGATCGACAAACGTGAGTCGAGGGCGTCCAAATATGCCTCCAGATCGCCACTGAACTTCAGCGCCTGAATCGTGGACAGATCGACGTGGAGCGCCTGGCCAAAGTTCACCTCGTACCGCTTCAGGATCATGTATAGCACAGGCCTGCCGCCGAACGGGCGGATCTCGCGGGCGCACCGCTCCTGGTAGAGCTGCACCTCTCTGCCCACGCCTCCGGTGGCAACCTTCCTCAAGGCGCTCGCAAAAACAAAAAAAAACCAAAACAAAGACAAGAAAATAACAGAAAGTTGCCAAAAAAAAGACATAAAAAGAAAAAACAAAAAATAAAATAGAAAAAACAAAAAGAAATATATAAGTAATACTATAAAAATAAAAAAAATTTGAAATACAAATAACAATAACAAAAACAAACCGACTACGAGAAAACAAAAACAAAAAAAACTAACGCAACAAAGAAAAAAAAAAAAAACAAACACAAAAAAAAAAAAAAAACCTCAGAAACAAAAAACACAAACAAAAACAAAAAACAAAAATCAAAAAACACAAACAAACAAAAAAACAAAAAAAAAAACAAAAAACAAACAAACCAACACCCAAACTTAATAACAACACCCACCCCCGCCCACCCCGCACCTTCACCCCCACCACCCAGCAACCATAAACACGGAGTCGCACGTACCCACCAAGGCCGAAATCCGTCTCTAGGGTCTCGACGTCCGTCGCGAAGAAGACCTCCCTGAGATACTTCAGTGTCCTGGTCTTCGACCTGTTGGAGCACCGGCACGCCTCCGATACCAAGTCGTTCACCCACTTGCGCAGGCCGTGGGCCGTCGGCAAGGCCTCCAGCTTCATCTCCTTGACCGGCGCGCGCCGTCGCATGAAAGCCTCATCCTCGTTCTCCGAGTCCGAATCCAGCGAGAACATAACTGGGGCAGCAGGGTTCGTTGGCAGCCCTGCTCGTCGTGCCGGGTCCGGGGTCACGAGCGAAATCGGCGCCGCAGGCGGCGCCGTCGACGGACCGGCCCGCGCCGTACCATCGCCAATCCGATAGCCCCCGGCCGTAATCGCGGACACGACCCGGCGGTCAAAGGGAGCAGCAAGGGCCCCGGCTGGGACAGCAGCCCGCGCTGGGCATCCGCCTCCGCCGGCTGCAGGAACAGCTGCAAGAGCGGCAGCTCCAAGCGAGGCGGCGGATCCTGGGACCACCAGCTGCGGAAGCCCCGGTCGAACAGCAGCCGCTCTGGCAATCTCTGCTTCACGTCGTAGTTCAAGCCCCCGTCTCTCGGCTAGTGCGGACTCCTCGCCCCGCATCCTGGTCTCGGCGGCCAGAGAATCCTCCAAGTTCTCGATGACCCCCGCGAGCCCCTCGATGTAGGTATTCGCCTGACTCGAGAACTCCAGCATGTGCTCGTTGGCTTCGCGGAGCTGCTCGGCCTCGGAATCGAACCTGGCCTGGGCATCCAAGCCCTGCTCACTCCAAAGCTCCAGCTCGTGGTTCCGCGTGTCGAGCTCGTCGCTCAGTTCGTCAACTTCCCTCTTGAACTGGACGATCTCCGCGTCGCCGACCTCTTGCTGGTGTCGAAGTCGACGGAATCCGTCGCGAGCAGCCGCAACCTCTGCCTGCTGCATGCCCTCGGCCCTGGCAGCGCTGGCGCTAGCTATGGCGACCTCGCCCTGCAGGGCGGCGACCTGCTGGTCCACCGCCTGCCTGGCCACGAGCACCTCGCGCTGCGCCTCAGCCCGGACAGCCAAGTAGTTCTCCGCCGCGTCACGCTCGACCTTCTCCCCGAGCTCCGTGAAGGCTCTGTCCCGGGCGTCGATCTCGAGCCTCGCCTCGTGCTGGCAGACCGCCCGGAAGTGCGCGGCGATCTCCTCCGCGGCACGGGCCCGCTGGGCCACGGCATCCGCGGCGGCAGACTCCTCGAGCGAGACCTCGTAGCCGCGAAGTTCGTCCCGAAGGGCAGCGTCTCGCACGAGGGCCTCCTGGGCAACCTGCGCGTTGGCAGTCTCAACGAAGCCCACTGCTTGCTGCCGACGGTCCTCCGCCAATTGTTCGGCTTGCCGCTGGTGCACCTGCAACTCCTGCCTGAGCTGCTGCACGTGCTCGGCCTCAGCCCTGGACAGCTCGTCCCGGTAGCGGGCTTGCAGCTCGCTCTCCAACTCGGCCGTCCGCTCCTCCATCGCGGCATGGTCGTCGATGATGCGGCTCAGCTCCGCCGAGAGGCCGATGTCGGTGTCCGGGAATGGCTGGTCCTCCGCGGCCAGGCGCCTCGGTGACCTGCTGTGGTCAAGGCCCCCCGGGACGACCGCCTCGGAGGGGGCCGCGGCGGGGGCCGCAGCGGCAGGGCGCGGTGCATCAGCAATCGGCACCGGGCGCCGTGCATCAGCAAGTGGCACTGGCCGCAACAATGTCGGTCTGTACGCCAGTGTGTAGACGCCAAGGCTCTTAACCTGTGAAAGCTATGTGAGTCTAGCTCGCGTCCTCGCTCACTTCTGTTCAAATCCTCCCTGTCTCCTGTCTTGGCGCAGGTAGACCACACCATGTCCTAAATTGACGGGAAAAATAATGATCAATTTATAGAGTCAATTGGCAGACGAAGTGCACCCGTAGGTGCCAGTCCACGCTCACCTACCTTTTTGAGTAGCGCTCGTGGTCACCCAAGGATCAATTCAGGGTATGGGCGTTTGCCATCTAATGGGGATGTTGGTTTTTTTCCAATCGCTGCAAGTAGCGATCGGTGCTTGTGCCAAAATGTTAGGGGCTTTGCCTTACCATTCGACCTTCTCGGCATGCTAATGTGGCCGATAAGAGGTCGGAGCACTCGCCATGCGTAACGGCCCGAGGAGGATAGAAGAAGAAAGACCTGTACCCCCTTAAATCCCCGATCGCATCACTGAATGCTGCTGCTCCCAATCACTTCGCCAGGAGCTGTGGCGGAATACACTAATGTGATACAAGTCGACACGAAAATGCAATGCCGCGGGACCCTGCGAAAAACGACCCCTTTTGGCTGAAATGGGTCGTTTTCTCCGGCGGCACACATTCGTGAGGCGTGATGTCATTTTCACAATCTCCACCGTCGGCGGCTCCGCGTACTTGTACGACCCCTTTCCGTCGTCCAAACGCTCGTTCACGTCCGCCAGGAACCCGATGCTGGCGGTGGGCTTCAGCTGCAGGAAATCGCCGACGTGCAGCATGATGGGGACGCGCCCGAAGTGGTGGTGCGGCCGCTTGTAGGTCGACTCCTGCACGTCGTGCGTGTCACTGCGTCCGTGGCAGGCGCGAAGGTCCAGCGCGTTGTACAGAGCTGCCGCCACCATGCTGACCTCCTCGACGACCAGAACGCGGACGTGCTCCCACAACAATTTCGACCTCTTCTGCGTGCCCCCCGGTCTCATCTGCGCGTTGATGTACTTTTGGACTCGCAGGGCACAGGCGTTGTGCAGCGTTCTAGCCTTCACAGTCTCCGTGGAGATGTTCTTCGCCTGCCTGTTCGAGAGGCCACGGCCATGTTGGCGCCCATGTCCGTCGACGACGGGGGCCATAAATACTCCACCGCTCGGAAGAAGATCTTCTGCACCACGTGAGTTTTCCCCGAGCCGCCCTGGCCCAGCAGGAGCAACTGCGTCACTTTTCTCTCGCTCCAGGGCTTCTTCTGCACGTCGTCCTCCCAGGCTTGGTCGCAGGCCTTGGCGAACCTTGCGACGAAGAGCGTCAGGTCCCGCGTGAGTCTCTGGTCCTCCGGCAAGCCGTCGACCAGTTCGGCGATGTACGCGCTGGGCGTGGAATGCACTTTGCCGTCAAATCTGGCCGCAGTGGGGTCGGTGCCCAGGCCGCCAGCGCTCTCGTCCGCACCACCCCCGGCCTGGACACAAGGGGCTACCCCTGCGCCCGGCCGCTGCCTCGTCGTCGTCGCCGTCGTCGTCGTCGTGGTGTTGTCGTGTACGCAGGCCCATGACAACAGCAAACTTGCTGACGATCAGCTCAGACGAGGCTACCCGCACTTCGCTCACAGACAAAGTTCCCACCTGACACGTCCCCCGTATTCATGCCGCAGGAGCTGAGGAACCCAAAAGGCTCGCTCGGATGACCCGCTCGGATTACCAACGTGAAGTGAGGGACCCATAGGGAGAGGCTCCCGCCTGAGACTCCCTCGCCACTCACTCACAGACGAGGCTCCCGCTTGATACTTCCTCCACAGTCGGGCCTGAAGAGCCCAAAAATGACCAAAGTCATAAGAATCCGATGTCCCGCCTCGGATTCGAACATGAAGTGCGGGCCCCATAGGGAGGGGGCTCCCGCCTGAGACTTCCTCGCAAGTCACTCACAAACAAAGCTCCCGCCTGATACTTCCCCCATATTCAAACATCAGGAGCCCAAAAGTGACGACAGTTACAAGTTTGAGGATGACCCGCCTCGGATTCGAACGTGAAGTGCGGCCCCCATAAGGAGAGGATGCTCCCGCCTGAAGCTTCCTCGCAATTCACTCACAGACAAGGCTCCCGCCTAAGACTTCCTCCATATTCTGGCCTCAGGAGCCCGAAAATGACGATAATTAGAAGTTTGACGATGACCCGTTCGGATTACCAACATGAAGTGCGGGCCCCACAAGGAGGGGGCTCCCGCCTGAGGCTTCCGTACTCACGGACAAGGCTCCCGCCTGATACTTCCCCGATAGTCAAGCTTCAGGAGCCCAAAAGTGACGATAATTACAAAATTGAGAATGACCCGCTCGGATTACCAACGTGAAGTGCCGGCCCAATAGGGAAGAGGCTCCCGCCTCAGACTTCCTCGCAATTCACTCACAGACGCAGATTCCGCCTGATACTTCCTCCATATTCAAGCCTGAAGAACCCAAAAGTGACGACCGTTACACGTTTTGGATGACCCGCTCGGATTGCCAACATGAAGTGCGGCCTCCATGGGGAGAGGGGGCTCCCGCCTGTGACTTCCTCATAATTCACCCATAGACGAGGCTCCCGCTTGATCCTTCCTCCAAATTCAGGCCTCCGGAGCCCAAAAATGACGAAAGTTTGAGGATGACCCGCTCGGATTACCAACATGAAGTGCGGGACCCATATGGAAGGGGGTCCCGCCTGAGATTCCTCACAATTCATTCACAGACGAGGCTCCCGCTCTAGGCGGCCGCCATATTCAGACTAGGGAGTGAGTCATGACGAAGTGATGAGTGAGCGAGTGGTGAATAGGATGATGCTGATGATGATGAGTGGAGATGAGGATGATGAGCGACAGAATGATGATGGTGGTGTTGATGAGGATGAGGATGGTAATGATGATTATTGGTCGAAATATGAAGACGTTGTTGATGAGGATGATTATAATGGTTTGGGTGTGAATGAGTGTGATGCTTATGATGATGGTGACGATGACGAGGATGATGATGAGTAGTAACGATGGGTGGTGATGATGATGATGATGGTGAATGAAGGGGTGCGTGGGTGGTGATGGTAGTAGTGATCAGGATGATGGTGATGAGTGATGATGGCTGATGATGATGACGGCCAGAAAGGGGAAGATAACGAGAGAGAAAGAGAGAGAAAAAGAGAGAGAGAGAGAGAGAGATAGAGAGGAAAAAAAAAGGGGGTGAGGAGATCCTGCGCGGAGGGTGTCCAGAGACAACAAGAACCCCGTTTAGGATGTGGCGACAAATGCAGAGTACGAATAATTCTTTGGTTCCAGCTCTGGTAGCAGACCGATCTCAGACGTCTAGATACAGAAATAACATTTCTGATGGTGTTCCCCCGATTGCTATGCCAAACAAGTGTGTAGCTCATATGCAGCTCGAGTTCACATCAAGAAAAAACATCATCATTTTTCTCTCTCTCTCTCTCTCTTTCTTTTGTTTGTTTTCTTTAAATATATGTACCAAACCAAAAAAACAAAGTGCGAATAGTTTTTCGGACCAAACTCTGGTAGCAGAGCGAGTTCAGACATTCAGATACTTGAGAGTAGCACGTGTGAGGATTTTCCTTCGATTGCTGTGCCGACCAGCTTTGTAGCTCATGTGCAGCTCGAGGTACTTTACGAAAGTCATCATCAGCTCTTATACGCAACAGAGTACGGCAACTTTTTCGGACCTAGCTCTGGTAGCAAAGCGAGTTCGGGCATCTAGATACTTCAAACTAGCGCTTCTGATGACTATCTTCCGATTGCTGTGCTGAACAGCTCTGTAGCCCATCTGCAGCTCGAGTTGAGTCAAGAAAACCATCATCATCTCCTAAACAAAAACCAGAATACGAATAGTTTTTTGGACCCAGCCATGGTAGCAGAACGAGTTCGGGCATCTAGATACTTGAAACTAGCGCGCTTGATGATTCTAGATAGATTATGTGTGCCCGTCAGCTCTGTAGCTTTTCTACAGCTCGATTCAAGTTCCGAAAACCGACAGCACCTGCCAAGATGACACTCAACAACCGATCCCGCCCACATGTTTTTTGACACTAGTATGTGCCCGATTGACCTAATATTAAGATGGCGACCGGGGATAAGATCGAATATCATGAGAACGAAAACTAAAACTCTTAACGAATTTTCGAATTTCGAAAAATTGATTTTCAACCGACCAAAACTGGGAGCCGGCGGTACACCGTGAAGCACATTACCGCCGGGACCCTCGCAGAGCTCTGAACACGCGAATCAGCACCCAAATAACGAGGAGAGAACATTCGCAAATTTCAGCTAGAAAACTCGTACAATGTACTTTTGAGTTTTATACGACGACGTCTCTGGCAAGTGTTTTGATCGAGATACTGCACCAAGAACCCTGATAAATGCACCATCAAACGCGCCATGATCGACTGCAAAGAACAAAAATATGGATTCGCAAAACGAATTTTCAAGTCTCTCACAATCTTCAAACAAGAAGCCCCAAGTTGACACATTGTCCGTTCTGGCCGGGGCGGCCAATTAGTTCCGTCCCGCGCCCGAATTCCTCTTAGCTCATCTTGTCGAGAAACTAGCTGTACGAGGTATTATGCAAAACTTCCGTCGAGACTGGCAGCCGGCGGTAAACCTCGAACCAGGTTGCCGCTGGGAACCTTGTAGAGCTCTCAACACAGCAGATTACTGCCAGATAACGAGAAGAGAATTTTCTCGAATGTCCGCTTGGAAACTCGCAATATATATTTTTCGGGTGCTCTACGAAAAGTTATGCAAAACTTCCGTCGAAATTTTTGTTTGCCAGCTAGCCCCCCAGCGCGCCGGAACTCGGAGCCGGCGGTAAACCGTCAACCAAGTTACCGACGGGACCCTCGTAGAGTTTGCAACACGCAAAAGAGCACCCAGATAA